TATATATTTTAATCACAAAATTGTTATTTATATACCAATTTTTATTTACTTATCAACTTAAAATTGTGATATGATTATAATTTTTCTATTATTAGGTTTTTTTATGTATATAAAATAAAATATATTTTTGGTCTCTTCAAAACTTTTAAGTTTAGATTTAGTCCTTTAAAATTTTTTGCCCTATTTTTATTTTTCTAATTTAGAAATACCTCACTTTTATTCCTCAAAATTATTTGTATAGCACCTTATAGTAAACAATGATATAAAAATAAATTGAATAAAAAATATAATACATTTTTTAAAAAAAATTATAAATTTATGTTATTTGTTTAATATAATGAAGCATGTTATTTTTAATTAAATCATACATATAATTTTATATTATAAATGTTTATATTTCAACATATTTATATATAAGGATTTATAACAAGAAGTCACATTAATTTGAATACTACTAGTTTAAGTTCTCTTTTAAGTAACATATTAAACTAACTAATCAAGTTTTTCAATAATGATTAATCATCTTCATACTAATAAAATAATTATAAAAAAATATAAAAGAACTTAGATTTATCATTTCACCTCAGATCCGTGAGATATCAAGACTGACCTTGGTGTCCTCTGGGTAGGGTCTATTTTCTTTTATTCTTGTTACATTATGTTTTGGGAAGTTAAGTCTCGCTGATCGGTCTTGTTCTACTTTCTCTAGGACCTGACTTCCCATAGCAGAAAAAAAAAATATATCTAAAAAATTAAAAATGATTTGAATTATGTTAATATTAAATATTTCATAATTTTGAAATATAACATGATAAAATAACTCAATTATTTTACATTATCGTAAATATTCAATTTTATAATATTAATTTATATTCAAATATTGTTTATTTTTAATTGTGTATTATATATTGTTGGAAAAACAATTCAATTTCTAAATTCAAATATATGAAATATTGTTTAAATTTTAATGGATTCTTTTAAGATATTGTTTAGAATTGAAATATATTATATTTATTTTAGATATTTATTTTCTTTTTTAAGATTAAGAAGTAATGCTAATAAATAGATACCCATAAGATGGAGAGAATCACTTGGCCATTGTCACCGTCTTAAAAGAAGAGGTGATATGAAAAAGGGCTTTCCAAGATTCATCATAAAACTTGTGATGAAGATATTTTCAAGTTGTATCCATAAAATTTTTGAGGAGAGGTTTTAAGTTTCACTCACAAAACTTAAAGAAATACTTTTTTGGAATTATATATGTAATATATTTTGAAATAATGAACATATTTATAGATGCAATTTTATATTTTCTTTATGGTTGGTTTACTTGTATGCTTTTATCCTTATACTAAAAGAAGAAGTTTTATTTTCGTAATGAAAAAAATTCAAAATTTCAAAAAGTCAAAAAAAAAATTCAAAATTCAAAAAGGTGATTAAAATGTGTGAATAATTGTGTTGTATGAACTATATGCTTTGGGTGAAGGTATTATCTTGAGACTTCTGGGGATAGAGAGGAAGAAGAATTATACATGGTGATCATTAAGACTTGCTCTTCTACTCTTGTGGTGCCCTTTGTTTATCCATAAAAACCAATTTCTTTTGTTAGCCCAGCCACATTACAACCCATGAAAGACCTTGCAAACTGTAACTGTTTGAATTCTATTGAGATTAAAAATAAAGTTGACTTGTATGATTCAATTGTGTAAATTTGAGAGATATTCTCACCTGAATACACTTGTGTGAAAGAGAGAAATACTAACCTTGGTGAGGAAGAGGTTGTTCTTTAATTTTCATTAGTATCACTGCCAAACTTGTTATCTTCCTTGACAAGTGTACTAAATCGTATAAGTAGTTCAATGAAAGTATGAGTATCGTCTCCCAAGGGACTTGCGCAACACTTTACAAATTCACTTGTTATACTAACTAAGCTACCAAAAAGTAATAAGAGTTCAATTTGTTGCAGTAAACAATGTAAGCAAGTAATAAGAAGTCTTTTTGGTATTTTTATAAACATTTAGGGTGCAAAACTTGATTCTAAAGCAATATTAATAAATGTTGGGGTTTGACTTCACTAAACCTTCCTCTCATATTTATCACTAAGCTCACAATAGTTGTCATTCAAAATTTATCAATCACTCTAAAAAATAACCAACCCTAATCTCTTACAAGTTGGCATCTAAGTTGCTAACTTAAACTATCAATCTCTTGCATAGTTTAACCAAGAAACCAGCTTTAAAAATCATATCTTAAAAAAGACTAATGGCATTTACTTTATCTCTAGCAATAAGCACCATTAGCTGCTCTATTTCATTTCAAATGTTTAAAATCATTTCTCAATCTCTTAAAAATCTCAAGTTCAAGTTAAGGGTGATCAAGCCATAACAAGCATTATGCACAGAAATAGAGCAATAAAATTGAATAGCAACTAACATTGATCACTTATAGTTTACACATGAGAATGGGTTTAGTTACATCAAACCCCAACAAGGGTGAGATTAGTTACACATAGACATGTAGAACTCTACAAAATGATGAAGAAAGGAAGAAGCTTGATCTTGAAGGTTCCAGAACTCTCCAGCCACCACACAGACTCCAGGAATGATTCTTCTTACTTCTCTCCTCGAAAGTTCCCTCTTTTAGGTCATAAAAGCTTTTGTCTTATGTGAATAATGACATGTCAGCACAATTCACGCTAAGCGTGAGATGCCACGCTAAGCGTGAAGGATAGGTCTGGAAAGAAGTGATTTTCTGGAACTTTCACGCTCAACGCCAATTCCCACGCTCAACTTGAGGATTAAAGTTTGTTCCAGTGAGTCTCTGTCAAGCTGAGGCTAAGCGTGGATCTAAGGCTTAGCTTGGAAACTTAACCAAAAATTCCTTCTACTTTGAGTTCACTACTTTGTCCTTGGCTTCCTTCCTTCTTTCCTAGCTTTCTCCTAAACTACAAAACAACAACCAAATACTTATAAGTTATCTAAAAACATGATTCAAAGAAAAAATGTGATCACCTAACAATTTAAATATGTTTTGAGTTAAAAATAAGGTTTAAAGTAAGGAAAATTGATATAATAGTACTTTAAATTAGACCATAAACTTAATGAAATCATAGCATTTATCACGTAACATATATTAATGATTACTCTACCGTCAAATATGTATTATGTTTTTTTTTTTCTGTCACAATCTTTTTTCAATTTTTTCACAAGCCGGCCTCTGAGGAAGGTCAACAAAGCTCCCAAGTTTCTTTTAAAAAAATATTTTATATTAATATTTATGTAATTTTTAAAATATATAACTTAAAAGTATTTTTTTACATTTTAAAAATTCACTTTAAAATATATTTATTAAAAAAATGAAAAAAATAAGTATAAAGACTAGAAATGTCTATTTTAAACTAAAAAGACTAAAAGATAAAGTAAACAAAATCATAAGAACTAAAAAAATATTTTAACCTTAATTTTAATTGCTTCAATTTGCTTTGGATTTTATAATTTTTTTTTGTTTAACTCAAACTAATCCAACTCAATGTTAAACAAATTGATTTGGTTCACATTATCGAATATTCGGTGAAAAGAATTTAAAAACTGCTTTTTAAAATTAAAATAAATATAATTTTGTCTCAAAATTGATAGATATTATTATTGTAAAAGAATGTAAATTACGTATTTAAGTGTAATTAATTAATACAAATTAAATAATAGCATAAATTATTAAAATAAATAAAAAATAAAAACACTTATGATTGGATAAATCATTATACTTCATCAGTAATAATCAAAATAAAATTAACTAAAAAGAATGAGGATTTCAATTATGAAAGTTTATTGGTGAAACCTTGAATCTGAAATTGAAATGCAAATAAATGCTTCAAAACATGTACTATGTTAACTAATAAAAATAATAATACATAAATAGTTGATTTTGTTGAGATTGATTTAGATTTCAAAAGTATGAAGTTGAAACCCAAACTAATCATCATATTTCAATTTGTTTGGTTCAAGTTCATCCCAAACAGATAAAATAAAAATCTAAACTAATTTTATGATTCGGTTGACCCAAACCGATTATCGCTCCTATAATCAACATTACTATACTACATTAGTAAATCCTTGGCCATACACAACAAAAGAAATAACAAATAACTCTTCGGCATTGATTTGGTTTCACAAAAGGTGCCATTAACTTTTAACACCGACGAGGTTCACTTACTGTTAGAAAGTGAACAGCATCACAGTCACAGCAGCAACTCAAACCGATTGAAATGCAAGTAATTTTCGCCTATTCTACCACCAAATCTTTTTAGCAATTACAGGTTCCAAAATCAAGTCCTAATCAGTCAACGCCCGGAAAAACAAAATAATTGTTCCTTCAACTCATGAACCCCACATTCTACTTTTACCTAGTGAATCCATTTACACTGTAACAGTGATTCACATAACTTTGGTTGCCTAATTACATTTGCAAGGAAAATGTATTGTCACCACTATAGCCTTCATCACGCCCATCATCCAGTCCTCCCTCAAAGTAGGAATGCTAATTTATTTGGCACTCTAATGGCCAATATGTACTTGAGATCCATTAGATATTACCCTGCCAGAGGTGCTGCCCATCATTTTAACACTGCTATTCTCCAATCCACTTTTAAGCCAAGCAAGGTTACTAATGTCTGTAGCTATTGCAGCCAACTCAAAATTTGGGAAAGATGGGGGTTCCGAAAATTCAATGAATTCTGGTCCCAACAAAGAGCTTTTGGACTTTTTACCATTTTGAGCTGCACAGCAACCATGTCCACACTGGTGAGGCACTGACTGGTCACCACAAATTCCTTCAAGCATTTTACAAAATTCCATATCTGGTTTTGTTGATTGTAAAATGGGTCCTTGCATCGGAACAGGTCTTTGAATTGATGCTGAAGGCTGTATGCCATCAAATGAGTGATACGCACTAAAGGCACTCACGCGTGCTACTGGCCGAAAAAGGGTAGGCGGGTCCCTGGCTTCATGGTGTAATTGACCCTCAGTTTGTGCTTTGTCTTCATTTTTATCATCCATGATCTCCACAGAACTGACATCTCTTCCTTCTGAGGATTTAAAAGAATTAACATCCCCACATGATAGTGTGTCTTCTGACGATGCTTTGGCTTTGTCCAAGCTCACATCTTCCATGAAGTTACCAGATTCTAATTTAATCTTATCAAGTTCAACTCCCCGACGCCTCAAAGTTGAATTCCAGTGGTTTTTAATGGCATTATCCGTTCTTCCTGGTAGAAGCCTGGCAATGGCTGCCCATTTGTTCCCATGGATTGCATGTGCAGCAACTATGATTCGGTCCTCCTCATCTGAAAAGAATTGTACTTTGTTAAGCCTATATCTTGAGGTAAGTGGCATGCTAAGACTTAATAGAGGAAATCCAAGTTTCTACGCAAATATATCATATAATTCTAATGTAGACAACAATGCATGCTGAAAGATAGATTACCGTCACATTTCAATGCAATGCGTGTTACCTGTACATTGGATTTTTATTATGCATTTAATTTGAATCATAAGATAATATAGACAGTTATAATTCGCTCCTGATGAGCAAATTCACACACACACACAAAAAAGAAGTAGCTTAATTTTAGCTGCAGGTTGCAGAAAAGTTATCTGAGACAATAAATGGATAATAAAGATATCTATCACAAGGCCATGTTCCAAAAGAAAAAAAAAAAAAAAAACTCTTTTCTTGTAAGTATCATTATGATGATTGTTGTTGTTGTTGCAGCCGGTGATTAGCCTTGTAACAGAGGTACTTGGTGTTCGACTTTTTGCAAATTTGGACAAAGGATTTGGTAATCTCATTACATCCCAAAGGCCAGACTTTAGATAATTATTTTTGCTTTTGGTCTGCGGATCCTCATTACTCACCTTTCTGATTTTCTAGTTATCAACTATTTTAGAACCTTAATTTACTATAATATATTTTTTGCTGGAAACTGCAATTAAACCTTAATATCATCGCTAGATTTAAAATTAGCACAAAAAGGAAGGTACTAAATTTTAAATTTTTAATGGTCAACAAACAAAATGCAGCACAACAAGGGAAGCAGAGACAGATCGACAAATGGAATGAGATGTATTCATAATATCTACATTCTTGATTATTATTGCAAACCAAAACTAATAATTATTTACATGATATATAACCTATCCCAAGCATTGAGCCTTTTGTATGATATAATAGGTTTAAGACTACAAGGCTACAAAAAGTAAAGGTCCATGAGATCATTAGCTATTTCACCACCTACCAACCTCAGTTTTATAATCTATAATTGTGTACACTATTTGTAGGTGTAATTGAGAGCATATGCATAGCATAAGTATTTTTTATACTTTAAATTCACTAGAATTTTATGATCATGATAGCTGTATTCTATCGATGAATGTCCTTTGTAAATGGCATACAGATGTCAACAATAATACAGATCATTGTCCCTCAAGTCACCGGCAAGACCTTAACCCCTTTGTTTGGTAAAGAGTAAATAGAGAAGAAGAGGAGGAAAGAGAAGGTAAATGTA